AAAAAAAAAAAAAAAGAAAATGAAAGAAAAAAAGAGTTTTGTGGTTATAACTTCTATACTCAGAAGTTACTCTTCCTAACTCTTCAGGCAATTCAAAACACATCTCTATACCATATTTGGCTCAGGGTGGTAAAGTAATCAAGGTTTGCTGGAGACTGAAGAGTTTTCCAGGTCGCTGAACTTCCAGTGCTAAAACAGGGAGAGTTCTGGGCAAACTAGGATGAGTCGATCACTCTACTTATGGACCTGCAACCTGCCACTTCTGATATAAACTATTATTCCTGATTCCCATGGATTAAAATAGATCTTGGATCCCTCCACACCTGGATGAGAAACTAGTTTGTTTCCATTCAATTTAACAAGCATTTTTTGAGTGCTCCCAATGCAAAGCTCTGGGGTCCAATGTAGTGAAAGATAGAACAGTGAATCAGAAGTGAATTCTTTGTTTAAGGCTATTCTGAGAGTTAAAATTTTTTTCTTTCTAAAATAGTTCTGATTTGCTTTCTGATTTTTCAGCGCCATTCCTTTTGCTTCTGCTGATTCATGGAACTCTAAGTGTAAGTGGGTTAAAAATGGGTGGACTGGTGATCACTTTAGCAAATATTTTAGGAAACATACTAAATGTAGGAAGCCTCTACTTCCCTATTTTTTTTTAGGGAAAATTTAACATAAAACTCTGTAATAAGAAGTAAGAAGAAGTCATCATATACTTGAGTCCTTACAAAGTCATATTACAAGGTGTTATGTTAATTCTTTTTGAACCACTGTTCTTTAAAAAAATGTTATTGTAGGCTGGTGCCTGCGGCTCAAAAGAGTAGGGCACCGGCCCCATGTTCAAACCCAGCCCCAGCCAAAAACTGCAAAAAAAAAAAAAAAAAAAGTTATTGTAAGCCAAATATTTTAAAGATAATTTTTAAAAGGCAATACATAAGTGGTTAAGTTGTGGCAATAACAGATACAAATACAAGTGAGAAAAGAATTGTCTTCATATTATAAAGAATGGTGCTCACGGGTTAGCCTAACATTTTCAGTTGTGTATTTTTTATTGTGGTAAAATATACATAACATTAAAATACCCTTGAACTATTTATTTATTATAGTAAAAATCACACAACATCATATTTACCATCTTAATCTTTTTCTTCCTAAGACAGGCTCTCACTCTATCACTAGGCTGGAAGGAAGTGGCCCAATAATAGCTCACTGCAGCCTCAAACTCCTAGGCTCAATCAGTCCTTCCACCTCGGCCTCCCAAAGTGCTGGGATTACAGGCCTGAGCCACCAGGCCCAGCCATCGTAACAACGCTAAGTGAAATAAGACACACACAAAAGAATAAACATTTTGTGATTGTACTCATATGAATTACCCATAATAAGTAAATTTATAAACACAGAAAGATTTGAGGTTAGTAGGGACTGACAGGAGAAAGAAATGGGGAGTTATTGATTAATGGGTACAGAATTTTGGGGGGGGATGCTGAAAAGTTCTGGAAATGGATAGCAGTGATGGTTATATAACATTGCAAGTGTACTTAATGCCACTGAATTGTACACTTAAAAATGGTTAAAATGGTGAATTTTATGTTATATATTGGTACGGGCTAAGTATTTCTGTCCCTATAAATTCTTATATTGAATCCCTAACCACCCCACTCCACCCCTCCCCACCACCCCACTCTCCAGCCAAATGTGTATTTGGAGACGGAGCCCTTGGGAGGTAATTAGGATTAGATGAGGTCTGGAGAGTGAGGCCTCCATGATGACATTACTGCCTTCATAAGAAAAAACACCAGGGACCAGGGGCTCACACCTAGATTCCTAGCACTTTGGGAGGCTGGAGGCTTGCTGGATTGCTTGAGGCCAGGGTTTAATACCAGCTTGAGCAAAAGTGAGACCCTGTCCCTACAAAAAATAGAAAAATTAGCCAGGCATGGTGCTACACACCTGTAGTCCTGGCTACTTGTGAGGATAAGGCAAGAAGATTGCTGGAGCCCAGAAGTTTGAGTTGTAGTGAACTGTGATGATTCTGCTGACAACAGTGCATTCTAGCCTGGGTGACAAAGTAAGATCCTATCAAAAAAAGAAGGGAAAGGAAATGGGAAAGAAAAGAAAGAAGACATGATAGAAAAGAGCAGGGGTCCTCAAACTTTTTAAACAGGGGGCCAGTTCACTGTCCCTCAGACCGTTGGAGGGCTGGACTGCGGGCCCCTGGAGGAGTCGGCTGCTAAGCAGGACAAGCAGCGGCGGCAAAAACACCTGCACCGGATAAATGTCCTAGGCGGGCGCATGTGGTCCGCGGGCCGTAGTTTGAGGACACCTGCAAAAGAGGCTGCTTTCTTTCTCTATGCTTGGGCCATGTGAGCACACAGTGAGAAGGTGGCCGTCTGCAAGCCAGGAAGAGAGCCCTTACCAGAACCAACCATGCTGGTTGCTTGATCTCAGAGTTCCCAACCTCTAAAACTGTGATAAAAAAATTTTCTTTATAAGCCACCTAGACTATGATACTTTATTATGGCAGCTGAGCTGGCTAACACATATATATTTAGCATGATAAAATCATTTTTAAAAATCATGGTAATATCATGCACATGGTTTTAAAAATAAACTACACTAAATTTACAATTTTTTTTTAAAGACACTATTCTACTTCTTTCCATCCCACCCTCAGTCTTTCAGCTGCCTCTTTTAGTAATTTTTGGCATATTTCTAAATAAGATGCGTATACGGGTAGTTTTTGTTTTCTCAATTTTGGACACCTTTTGTTGATTTCCATAAGCTTGATAAGAACTTAGTTTTCCCTCAAACCACCATGGCCAGCTAATCCTCCATAGCCAGCTAATTATTTTGAGGGAGCAAAAAAGATATTGGTGGGATTGGGGAGAGAGAAACATAGTAACAGAAAAGGTTCCCCAAGAGAAACAATAGGATGGAGATACATGTATCCCTTTTCCTTTAATTCCATGTGAACCTTCAATCAGCATTCTTATACTTCCTGCCAGCTGACATCCTGGGTCATTTTTGTAGTTTTCTGTCATATGACATCCTTAAAACTTCTTTTCTCTTCATTTGGTCACATTTAATCAAAGTTTCTACTCCAGGTTGCTGGGAAGCTTTTAAAAATTACCCAGGCTCAGTGGGCCCAGCCCCCACCTAGAAGGTTGGGTTCAATTGGCCTGTGATTAGTCAGGTGATTCTTCTGCGCAGCTTAAACTGAGAACTATTCATTCAACACCTATTCATTGAGAACCTTCTAGGTGCTGCCAGGCACTCTTGAAGGACTTGCCCATGTCAGTGAAAGTTTATGGAGCTTAAGTTTTAATGGCGGATGGGGGTGGGGGGAGACAGAAATTCTAGTGGGAGGAGCACCAGGGGGACCACTGAATTGGACAGGAAGGATCTTTGATTCCTGAGAGTCAGGGGTGTAGAAATTACTCAGTAATGTCTGTCGAATGAATGAATGATCTTTGACCTTCTCATACTTAACTTGCATTTTTTTCTTGGTTCATTTCACTAGACCTTCAGCTCTATGATGCTAATGACATGTCGAATTTGTTCTGTCACACCCTCAGTGCCCATTACAGGGCCAGCACACAGTAGGTGCTTCATAAACAGTACTTAAATGCGTGACTACATTAAAATGCATACCTGTATTCGTTATAGTAGCCTGGATTTCAAGAATATTATGCCGATTATCATTAATTAATCCCTACAAATAAACATTTGGGGAGGCATCGTCAACCAAAGATGCTCATTGGCACCTTGACAGCCATTTCACAGGCTGGCTCGCCCTATAAGCAACCCAGTAGAGCACCAGCAGCCACCGAGAGCCTGTAAACTCCTGCGAGCAGAAGGGCCCTCCCCGCCCCCTCTCCCGCGCAGCTTGCTCTGCCCTCTGCCTCCTCCTCTCCGCCCACTCTCGCCGCGGTCTCCTGGCGGCGGCGGCTTTGTCTCGTGGGCTGGTCCCCAGCGGCTTCCTCCCCTGAACAGCTGCTGCCCGAGGGAGGAAGCGGCGCGGGAGCTGTCCGGCATCCCGGTGCTGAAAACCCCGAGGGCTCGTTTTCCACCACTACCTTTAAGGGCCATGAAAAGGGCTCGCCCTGGCGCAGCGCGGCCATGGAGGAGGACTTATTCCAGCTAAGGCAGCTGCCGTGAGTGTCAAGTGTCATGGGGGCGAGAGGGAGGCAAGCAGGCTTTCTTTTAAAAAACGGAAACCTGCAGGGGCGGGGGCGGGAGGAGGCATCTCGGCTTGGGTTCTTGCATTTAATGGGAACTGTTTTCCGAAGAAGGAATTAGGCCTGGAGGAGACAAGCCATTTTCCTTCCCCGTTAGACCAGCGTCTGTATCTCTGACTCAGTTTATTTTTTTTCGGATCTGTCAGGACCTTATGGGGAGCCATGGGTGTTATGCTTTCCCCTTTAATTGGTCTTAATCCTAAAGGGATTTTGAGGTCTGTGCTTTAAGAAAGCATTAGCTGCGGTTTTGAAATGTGGAGTGAATTGATGAATCCACCCAATGACACCCGTCCTTTCCAGCCCTTCTCCTGTGCTGCGAAATTCCTAATTCTTCTGCAAGGTCTTTCGGAAAGGAACGATATTGATGTTGCGAACTGGTTTCTAAAGAGCTGGGATTCCTTCCTAGAGGAGAGGCTTGAGCAAAGTCCTGCTGTTTATGAAGTGTGTGAATGAGAGGGCTGAGCACTGTCGCTGACACCTCTTGCCTTCTTCTGAATGAAAGGTTTTTGTAACAGCTAGCTAGAGTGAGACCAACATCGGAACGTCAGAATACACTCCTTTGAGGATGGGGAATTTTTAAGAGATATCAAATTTGCTCTAAAATCTTAGGGCTGTGTAACCAAGCAATGGAAAGGACAGTGGCCTTGTAGAGAGGGGCTTTTTCCTACCACAAGTAGATGGTGATTTGTTAAGCAAATTCCAAGAAAGACCATTAAAAAAAAAATTTCTAGTTGTTGTATTTATTTTTAGAATCACTAGGCATTTGGATGGCAGAAGTAGATTCACTCTAAAAATTAATTATTGTTTGTATGTTTGTATTTTCTTGGCTTAAAAAATGGTATTTTTTTTCCTGTAAGCTACTGAGGAATTCTCTTAAGTGACTTTTAGTGTGGCTTATATGGTTCCCTGAGGCTCTTAGTATGGAAGGGGATTGTAATGTTTACCTTCCAGAGTAAGATTAACTTTTATTTTAAAATTTTAATTAATTTAAAATTTATTTTTAAGCTTTGGTTAATTGAACCACAAATAGCATATCTTATTATGTAATACAGCAATATTTCATGAATGTTAAAGGATGCCGAGTTATAATATCTGGAGGTTGATGTATGAGCACGTTAAAATGTAAATGTCTGATTATAACTCTCTCAAGGAAAACCTAACACTTCCATTGAAAATAAGTATGATTAAAAAATCAAACTATTATCCCCAAATTAAAAATAATTCAAAACCAGCAATAGGAATCCAGGTATTCAGAATAAGTCTACACATGGGAACTGTGGTTCTTCTGGGATAAATTTTCCAGTAATGTCAGAGCATGTGAACTTTAAAAAAGACTCATGTATATTCCACCTGCTAATATATAGACCAGACATTATTGTGACAATTCCTTCTTTAATTAAAAAGAAGTAAAAATAGGAAGAGGTTTTTACTTGTTTAAATTTAAAAATTAATTTAGTTTTGTATGAATATAATACAATGTATGAATAAATAAAAATAAAATCCAAAGAAAAGCACAAGAATAAAAGGTTAAGTCTCCTTCCCTTTAAATCCCAGTCCTTTTCTCCAGAATTAGATTTCTTGATTATTCTTTCTGATGATTTATAGACATATATACATATGTTATCTATTAAAGAGACAATTGTATACTGGTTCGGTACATTGGCTCTTGAATCAGACAGAGTTGGGTTCCTGACTCTGCCGCTTCCTGGCTATGTGACTTCAAGTAAGTAACTTAAGCTTTCTGAGACTTAGTTTCCCTAACTATAAAATGAGGATCATAAAAGTACTTGATTTATAGAGTTGTTGTGAAGACCAAATGAGATAAGTTGTGTTAAATTCTTGGCAGGCACAAAGCAGTCAATGCACATTAATAATATTAATAATAGTATTATACTACATCTGAAACATCATTTATAAAAACAAACTATGTGGGTTCTTGATGCTAGACTCTCCAAAATTATAATCCGTGATCCCCCAATCTACATTTGAGTGAGTTTAAAATTAACTTTGCTATGTATTGACCTCAATTTCTGAAAAAGAATGAGCTAAAACTGATGGCCACATGAATCTGAGTGGGTTACAAATCACGACTTAGATATTTTTTAAACCACACCCTGAGCATATTATGTACAGATTGCAGGCAGCAGATTTACTGTGAACAATATGGTTAAAAAAAATCAGAGTGCCTTGTAAAGGGTTGGCAAGAGTGGACTTTGGAATAGGCTCAGTCTCATGGGAGACCAAGTGTTAGTAGATTATAAGTCACTAAGTAGTTTACAAGGTTGGGAGAAGGGGTAAAGGCGTGACGGTGTTTAAGAAAATAACCCTTCCTTGCAGTTAGGAGCACCTTCTCACCGCTCTGGGATGGTTCATTTGAGCCCACAAACAACCCTTGCTGTCTACTCAAGGGACAGAACTGTGTACAGGAGATTCAGGAGCCTAGGATTTTACATCCACTGCTGCCTTACTGTGTGGCCTTTTCTAGGCCTCTCTTTTCTAGGATGATTTATTGGAAGCTAGTTTGTAGACTACATTGATTCGTTGCTTCTTTCATTCATTCAATCACTAATTTGCCTTAACACCATCCTAGGTACAAAGGATTCTACAACCGAGCAAGGTAAAATGGTTACTGACCTTAAGGAACTCACAGTCTAGAGTTGTAGGCCCAACATGGTAGCCACTGGCTACATGTGGCTATTTAAATTCAAACTTAAATTCTCTTTCAGTTATGTAATTTGTGTATGCAATGACTTATACAGCATAATTTACCATATAAAATACGTAAAATTTTAAAAATCTGCCCTTCAGTCATGTTCATTAAGCACATTTCAAATACTAAATAGCTATGTGTGGCTAGTGGCTACCTTATTGGGTAGCATAGGTCTAGAACATTTCCCTAATTGTAGAAAGTTCTGCTGGACAGCACTGGTCTGATGGGAGCGATAGATGGACACTGAACACATCATTGCACAAATAATTATGAGACTTGTCTTAAGTGGTATTAAGAACTAGTGCAGTGTGAGGGGACAAATTCTGGATAGGTGAGGGTGCAGACCAGGGAAGGCTTCCTCAAGGCTGCTAACATTTGAGTTGAGCCCTTGGAGATGTGTAGGAGTCATCCAAGAAAAAAGACAGAGCAAGGAGCATTCCATCCAGGAAGAGGGAAGTATCTGGGTAAAAGCTTTGAATTAGAAAAAAGTTTGGTGTGCCTCAAAATCAGCGGATGGAGCATCGGGAACAAGAGAGTCAGGAAAGAACTGCAGAGGACAGCAGGGACCAGGCTATACAGGGCCTCTTAGTATGTGACAAGGAGTTGGGACTCCGCCCTGCGTTTCTTGAGTACGCTTGCTAACAGCCTTATCCTTTGATATTGAGCTTAAGTCCATCCCTTCCATGAGTCTTCCCTGATTTCTGTTAGGCTTAATCAATAGGAAAGGTACAACTGTGGAGTCTGAGTTGGGCAGATTTGGGTTCAAACTCTGGCTCTGTCTCTTACTAGCTGGGTGGCCTCAAGCCAGTAACTTCATCTTCCCAAAGCTGGGTGCTTAATGTAGAGATAAGCACCCTATGCTCAGATGTGGCAGTTCGCTTCACGTGCTCCTCCAGGAGAGTGGCTCTGGGAAAGATTTCTTTGATGATCGAGTTCCTGCAGGCAGCCTGCAAAGCCGGGCTAGTGATAGCATCTGCCTGGCAGGGCTGTTGTAGGCATCAGGGAGATAAGCACTGTGAAGCTCTCAGCACAGTGCCTGGCTCTGAGCAAGAGCGCAGCTAAAGGTGCTGGTGTTACTCGTCTTTCTCCACTCTGGATTTGTTTCCCTAATAGCCACCTTGTTCAGGTAGTAAAGCACAGGGAATGCAAAGTCTCCATTGCAGAACACAAATGAACATGTTTGGTTTTGGAGTGAAAGCATGTGTGTGAACTTGAACTCTTCATCTTCCCTCCACCTGCTCCTCTCTCAGCCTCATCTATCTCCATTGTTGGCAACTCCATTCATCCCATTAGGGCCAAAAACTTTGGAGTCAACTTAAGGCTCCTCTTCCTCTTGCACTTCATTTTTGCCCCATCAGGAAATCCTATCGGCCCTGCCTCTAACCACTCTTCTTGACTGCTTTCACAACCCCCTAGTTCAAGTCTTCATTCTCTCTCACCAGGGTTGGTTGCAATGGTCTCTGTGCTAGTCTCCCCACTCCTGCCCTTGTCTCTCCACCACCAGTGCTCAACACAGCAGTCAGAGGGATTCTTTAAAAGTCAGATCATGTCCTTCCTGTGCTCAAGAACCTCCCATGGATCCCATCTGACCTCATCTCTTCCAGTCTTCCACCCATTCCTGCTGCTGGAGCCACTGTGCTATTCCTCAAACATACCAGGCAGGCTCCTACCTCAAGACCCACTGTTCCAGCTCGGTGCCTGTGGCTCAGGTGGCTAAGGCACCAGCCACATATACCTAAGGTGGCGGGTTCAAATCCAGCCCCGGCCCGCCAAACAACAATGATGGCTGCAACCAAAAAATAGCCGGGTGTTGTGGTGGGCACCTGTGGCCCCAACTACTTGGCTGGGCAGGAGGCTGAGGCAGGAGACTCGCTTGAGCCCAGGAGTTGGAGGTTACTGTGAGCTATGATACCATGGCACTCTACCTAGGGGGACAGCTTGAGGCTCTGTCTCCAAACAAACAAACAAACAAACAAACAAAAAACTGCACGGTTCCTTCTGTTTAGGAAGCTTTTCTTTGAGATATTTGCTTTTCCTTCATAGAGTCTTGAATGCCACATCTTCACCAAAGCTACCCTGATCACTCTCTTTAAAATTGCAGCCCTCTCTCACATCCATTAGGATGGCTACTATTGAAAAAAATCCCCCCAAAGCAAAATAACAAGTATTGGTGGGGATGTGGAGAAGAAATTTTAACATTTGTATG